AAGTTTACTTAAGTGTGATTTTAAATGTGACTTGTAATGCAGCATTTTTACATTGTTGTACTGGCACTATTACTAAGGTGAAGCTTCTGACTACTTCTTCCACCGCTGGTACATCCATTATATAACTAGGAACTGTGAATAATCTGATCCCTCCGTCCGCCTGCTGGATGAATGATACAGTAATGAGTGATACAGACTGATCAGCGGACACTTCTGTAGAAACTTGACGGCACGTAGTTGGACATGAAGATGGAGCAGGACACTTTATTTATACATGGCCATTGCTTAACAGTCTTCATCGTGTTCTTGATTGGACTCGTGGCCGATAGAGCAGGTGCAGCTCCACAGATCACAGGCGTAACAAGTACGGAGACTCAAAAGGTCCTGTGCCCTGAGCAGCCCTAGGGTGGCTATACGTCACCTGCTGATTAGCCTGTTGCCCCTTCTGCTCTGCTAATGAGCCACTCTGCCCTTTTGTTGTGTGTGTCATTTATTTTTTTCCCAGTCGGACCAGTCAGGTAAGACATTTCCTAGTCAGTTCTCGGATTTAGTCAGAGATACTGTACTTGCTGTATGTGGAGGGGATATTATTGTATGAATATTATTATTATTATAAATAAATGAAATGATGTATTATCAAGCTAAAAAGGAGAGGTGGCTCGAGTGGCTCGTTATTAAAAAACTCCGGCAATTAGCAGTTGAAGTACAGGACACAAGTGGTGCTATATGTGGCTATAGGGGCCTCTTTTCTGGGAAAACGATACACTTCCTGTTTATTTTTACTCCATAACGTTGAGGATTTGTCAGACTTTTAGAAATTGTGAACAATGGGCTTTGTGTAGACATTTCTAGGAGAGAAAATGCAGGATGCAGCTCAAACTCTTATCCTGCTCAACTGGTATGGAATGAAACAGTGCTGCTTTGTTTCACATACAGAAACACTGCGTACAATCCACAGTGTCGGTATTACACACAAGGTGCGGGAGCCAAAGCCGCAGACGGTCTTGATGTCTCATTCACTGATGCTCACATTACACATTGTTCCCTCAGAAACCCGCAGTGGATGCTTGTGATTTAGCCGCATTATGTTAATGATGTAGATTGTTTGGAGAAGACTTAATTGTCCTTTTGCTGAATTTGGACCGAGGCCTAACGTTTCACTAAATTCTGTGCGTGTGTCTGAGCGTACAGTATGTGTGTGGGCATGAGAGAGTTACTGAGCAGGACAGATAGAGGCTGTTTGTGTTTATCTGTGTGTGTGTGTGTGTGTGTTTGTGAAGGTACATTTGGGTTGCTCTAACCACGCTCCCCTCTGTGATTCAGGATTCAGCAGTGTTCCAACCTCAACCACATGCCGAGCGAAAAACTGGCCTCCGTCTTCTCCTCCTGCTTGTTCCAGACTCAGGGACAAACCCCACAGGAAACTAGCGTCGTCTGTGACCTCATCAGCAACTACATTACACTCTTCAGCGTGAGTCAGAAACATTTAATGTGTTTATTTCTTTGCCATTTTGACAGGAGACGATGAGAAGGGCAGAGCTGAGAGCGGGTATGTGATGTGGGTCTTCCACCTCTAAGTTAGATAACATCCAGTTTTACTGCATAAACACCTATTACATAATTTGTAAAAATATCATACAGGTAAAAAAAAAAAAAGAATATCTAAGCACAGATAAATAGCCCACCTGCCTGCTTTAAAACCTACATAGTTACCAGTCATGGCAAACCAGTCGGTTACCTAGATCAACGGTCAAATACAGAAACCAATGTCTTTGCCGACTGCACACATCTCCAGAAAATACAGAGATTATGTTGTAAAAACAGGTCACCCAGGACAAAAAAGTACTAAAGCAACCTTGTTCAGGACTTCTTTAGCTTGAGGGCAAAATGAGAGCAGGCTCATGACGCCCAGTTTGTTCTATATGTGAGGAGCCATTTGTGATAGTAGAGAAATATAACTTAATGACACAAAAAGACAGATATCAGATTTTTCCCTCTGATGGAGCAATCTTTTCTTGCTGTTATACAAAACAAATTTTACCTGTGATTAAAGATGCATCAAGTGCGATACACTTGAATGTTAAACCAAACAATGAAATGTAGTTTGTGAAAATTATGATAATCTTGAGGAGCTTTTTTTGGTGCCGGTTTTGTCTGATGGAAAAGCTGAAAGAGCTGAAAAAGTAAACAAAGCCTAGATGCCTGTGATCTGTCCACTGAGGACTGGGATATGAGATTTTAAAATCTTCTGCTTAGTGTGAAAAATGTGTCCCGATAAACAGTCCTTTTGAACACAAAAAGACTCTTAAGCAATAAATGGTTGCCTTTTTAAACAGTGTTCTATTTTAGTTTCTTTCAGTTTTATTGTTTTTGACTTTTCTTTTTT